TTATAACTTCAAAATTAATAGTAGGGAACAATGAAATATAAAAAAAGATCCTTATCCTTATATAACATGGATCTGAAAAGTTAGATCCATGTTTTTAGCAATGACAAATTACTGAATTTTTTCAAATTTGATCAAAATTACTTTTTGGCTGAACACCAAAAAAGTATTTTTTGTCTGTATTAACTATTTCTCCTGATAATAAATCTTAGAATTATATAATTATGTCTCATAAAAGAAAATTTTATATTCAAGTCTCAATAAAATCATAATTGCTACTAGACCTGATGGTCCCTCTTGAACCACAAAATAGATCACATCTCATATTACATTTAATTTATACAAGACTCCTAACAAGCTAGGTAGTTGGACTTAATTCAATAAGCAATAAAGAACCAATGAAAGTTTATGAGCAAGGAAATAATATGATCAGAGCAGCATGACAGAAAATTTGCAAATGAGATTAATTTGCCTTCTCATGTTTACAAGAAAAAAGGAGGGAGGGGGGTAATAGTACCCACACTGATAAAATCAGAGGAAAATTTAAAATATATTTAATTTAGTTAAATATTGGGAAACTTACCAAAAAATATAAAATGGAAATAATTTTAAAAGCTATTAAAATTACAAAATTGATAAAAGTAGAAAAAGGAGGGTTAAAAATAAAACTTGAATGTGMGTTTTTTCCCACATGCTTTGCTTTACTTCCTGCTTTGTTCTTTCTATAGCCCAATCCAAAAGGCCATGATAGCAGTCTTTCCATCTGTTAGAATCTACGAGATGGACAGATGGAAAGGATAGAGGTTATTAACTATGTAGTTTCAGTTCTATAACAATTAGCATCCAATTAGTATTAGAGGAAGAAAATTAAAAAGCAAGCTTAACATAGGACATTGTTTATAACTATTCCTCAGGCCAAGCACACAGTCCCTGCCCTTACAGTCAAAACTACTGACAAAGGAACTAGGACATATCTAGCAAAGGAAAAAAGTATGGGGACATATTCATATACCTTTAAAATACATAAATATAGAGTCTCATTTTCTGCATCTGCAAAGCGAAGACACTCCTCAACAGGGATATTGTGAGGATTGAGGGAGGATACACATGTATTTAGCATAGTGACTGGCTCATAAGTTGAATTTAAATGTTACTTTGCTTTTTCTTTACATAAATATTCTCTCATTAGCATTGGTAATATAGTTGGGTATAGTACAAGAACAATCAAAATTTTATTTGATAGTGATCCAGATTTCTAAGACTACATAACATCCAAAAGTACAGACTGTGCACTAGGTACTATTTTATAAATATAAATGAATGGTACTAAAGGATTCTGTCCTATAGGTTTTAAAATTGATTTTGTAGAACATTTAAGATTTGGACAAATGGAAATGGACAAAGGAAGTTATTAAAAGGAGAAAATGTGTGAGAAAACTTATCAAAGAGCAATGTTCATTTGAGAAAATGTTATTTGAGCAATATTATTTTAGAAAAAACAAAAATGGTCTGGCTGAAGTTTATATTAGGAAGCAGTCTAAAGATAAGGTTGACAAGCCTACAGGACTGAGATTTCAAAGAGCAGCCAATGTCAGATATAAGGAACATCCTCTATAGTAGTGGTTCTCAAAATATTTTTACTTAGGGATTCCTTTATACTTTTTCCTTTTTTTTTTTTTTTCACGATAACGGAACACAAAGTACTTGTTCTATAAGCTACAGTGTTTATGACATCACCACATACAGTGTGCAGCCTCTGAAAAAAAGCCTACTGTGAGACTGATAGTAAAAGATAACATCATCACAGTGCTGGGGATACAGCTCAGTAGTAGAATGGGCTTGCCTAGCATGCACAAGGCCCAGGATTCAATCACCAGTAGCACACAAAAAGAAAACAACACTATAAAAATTGGTTTTTAACTGTAGAATCTCTTGAATTCAACTACAGAAACTCTGGACACTTCAGACCACATTTCAACTACTGTTGCTTTATAACAATGGGGATGACTAAATCAATGAAGATATATTATGTTTGTTTTAATGAGTTTCTTAATGGTGTGAAGAAAGACTAAAGCAAGAAGATATAGTAGAATAACCCTGGTCTTGAAGCAGCAGTGAAACAAAAATGTCCAGTTAAACTTAGCATTTATAAAAAAAWTTCTTAAAGCTAAACTTGCAAGCAATAAGAGGAAAATAAAGTATTTTAGTATTTCCTCAGTTGGCACTCTTTACACAAACCAGGATGAAAACCTCAATTTTTTTTAAGTAAAATATATTGTAGGTTCAATATCAAGACAATTCAGAATGATTTCAATTTTAGGAAATTTTATTTGGAATAAAGAAGACTTAATAAATACAAATTCCAAACACATATGCCTTTAAAAATAATCATGAAACAAAAATAAAACTCTACAAAATTATGTATCAGACTGATATGTGATTTTGAGATAATGATGTCTGTAGTTAGGTTTAGCTAGTTCTAAAAGAAATACTTAAAACCAATCATAGCCACGTGTGTTATCATACACCTGAAATCTTAGACTCAGGAGGTTGAGGCAGAAGGACAGCAATTTGGAGGTCATCCTGGGCAATTTAGACTGTCTCAACATCACAAGGTAGCTCAGTGGTAGAGAATGTACTTGGGTTCAATAAAGAAACAAAATGAAATCAAACATAAACTTACTTTAACAAAAATATGAACAAACTTAAAATTCTAATGTATCCATAAATGATATGCAAATCTATAAAACTCCCTTCTTTTTATTGTTTGTACTGAAAATTTTAAACAAAATTCAGTTCCTTGTGTTAAGTGTATACATTATATGAAAAGAATAAAAATTTGTTAATAAAAAGAATATAACTGTTACCTTTGCTATCAAGTGATAATTGAATGGATTCTTTGACAAAACCAATTTAAACTATTTCAAGGAAAAGCCTGGATAGCATCAAACTTGAATTTCAAGAGAATATTAAAAATGTATTTATCTACCAGATTTAAGAAAATCCTTTTAATTCAAAGGCATTTAAAGAAATTATTAAAATATTCCTAGGCAGAGGCTGATTTAAATTATGAACAATAAAGGCATTTTGAACTTAATATAGTGACTATAAGTATTGATTTTTAGAAAAACAAATTTGGAAAAGATTCTATACAAATATTATTTTTAAATGTATGGGGTTATAATATAAAAAGAGCAGCAATATTTTAAAAATATACTTCCTGCCTTCACTGCTAGTAAAAGAAAAAAATGCTTTTTAAATACTTAAAAATTCAATAATAACTATATTAAGAAATTAATACCAGTAAGGAAGAGGAGCAAAATGGTATTATGAACCTTTACAGGTTCAACATTGAATACAATTTAAATTTTTTTATTGGTGTATTATCAATTATACAGGAGATGAGTTTCATTGTAGCATATTCCTACATGTATATAACATAATTTGATCCCATTCACTTCCCAATACCTCTTCCACCCTCAACTTTCCTCTCTTCCTTACTGATTCCCTTTGTGTATACTAATAGTATCCTTGTGTATACTAATAGTATTCATGATCTTTTTYCCCCTTTCCCCTCTAATTTCCACATATGTAAGAAAATCTACTACTTGTCTTTGTGAGGCTGGCATATTAAACTTAACTGGATACTCTGCATTTCCATTGTACTATAAATGACATAATTTTGTTCTTTATGGTTGAATAATATACATTGTGTGTATTATTATTGTTATTTTGCTTTATTTATATATTTGTTGACAGACACATAGGCTGATTACATAATCTGGCTACTGTAAATTGTGCTGTGATAAAGATGGGTATGCATGTATTATATGCTGACTTTAAATCTTTTAAATAAATGCTAAGGAGTGATACATAGCTGGATCATATGGTAATTCTACTTAATTTCTTGAGGAACCTCCATACTGATTTCCATAGTGGTTTTATTTACATCCCCATTAACTGTGTATAAAATTTCCTTCGTCCATGTTCCTTCCCAGCTTTTATTGTTGTTTGTATTCTTGATGGTTGCTATTCTAACTTAAGTGAGATGGAATATAATTTTGATTTGGATTTTGCTGATGCATAAAGAGGGTGGATATTTTTCCCATAGTTGCTGGTCATTTGTACTACTTCTTTTGAGAAGTGATATTCAATTCATTTTCCCACTTATTGAATGAGTTAGTTGATATTTTTGGTGTTGAATATTTTGTATTTCTTTCTATAGTCTGGATATTAATCCTGTTGGAAGAGCAGCTGGCAAAGATTTTCTCTTTCTGAAGGCTGTCTTTAAAACTATTGTGTCGTTTGCTGTGCAGAAACTTTTTAATTTGATGCCACCCCCTTCATTGGTTCTTTCTCTTTATTTCCTGAGCTCCAGGGATCCTATTCAAGAAGCTCTGCCTTCAACGAAATGTTAAAGTGTTTCCCCCATTTTTTTTTATCCAAACATTTACAGAGTTTCTGGTCTTATACATAGGTCTTTAATTTACATTGACTTTATTTTGTACAGGGTGAGCTTTAAAGATCTTTTCTTCTACATGTGGATACCCAGTGTGTTGTGTTGACCAAGGTGTTGTGTTCAACTTCAACTAAAAATATTTTTTAAAAATGAATAATTAATTTTTTATTATATATTAAGCTAACCTTATTAAATGGCTTAGAATACTAGAGGAATCATTTAAGATCTTAACCAACCATATTCACATTCCCTAATGGTTTAAAAAAAACAATATTTAATATTAGCAGACCTAAAATTTAAACTTGGAAATTAATAATATTCAAAATACAGTGAATATCACCAAATTTAGAAAGGATATAAGTCAAAGCACCAGCAAAACTTCTTCTGTAGTGCAGATTTAATATGTGGTTAAAATAAAAGTAGTTCATTACATTATGTTTGTATTATATACTATAGTTTCTTAAAATATAGTTGTTAAATAATTTTCACAATTACCTAAAAAAAAAGTACCAAGTTAAAAAAAAAATCTAGGTAAATAACATACCTGAGTTCGTAAAATTTCATTTTTTGACAACTGCATATCACCAGTCAATTCTTTCACAATGATACCCAGTGGCTCTAGACGTTTGCTGAAGTAATTTGTCATTTCAGCTGCCAAGGCTTTCATTGGAGCAACATATACAATCTGTATCAAAGGAACAACTAGCTTGATGAATGAGCAAACACTACAATGTCATTTGCTTCACAGTAGCCAATATAAGTCACAATTTATTGTGAAATATGATTCCAGCTACTTCCTGTGAGAAAAAAATCTTAATAGTGATATATGAAAAGTATTATCTTTGTTGGATAAGTGGGTAGCTATTTAAAGTACAAAAGAATTTGTTTACATAGCTTTATCATTTGGAAAATTGGTTCTGCTTCAAAGCTAAATGTATTTTCATAGCTTTTCACAAGGGTAATAGGATTTTCATAAAACAAATAGGGACTGCCTTAATAATGAAGTAACTCAAGCAGTATTAGTTGTGTGACTTCAAGTACAGTAAATATCCTAAAGAACTTTCAGATTTCATTTAACATATATAACTACAAGCTTATTTTAATTCTTAGGATTTAAAAAGCTATTGTTTGTTATTTACTTACCTTAAATTCATTCTTTTTGATAACACCTTGTTGAAAATGTTGGCGAATTTCATGCAAGACTGTAAGCATTGCAATATTGGTCTTTCCAGCTCCAGTAGGGGCACAAATCAACATGTTCTCATTGGTGTTGTAGGCAGTCTCAAATACTATTGACTGAATTCTGTTAAGTCTCCTCATTCCTTTAAAAGCCAACTGTCCAATCTAAAAAAAGCATCATTCATTATAAATTATGATAATGTGAAGAACTCATACAAAACATAAAATACAAACATTAATTCTCTTTGAGTTTTAAAAAAAGAATTTGTTCTGTTTCTAGTACGTCCTATTTTTGAACTTACGATAAATTGTGAAAAAATACATTTTGAACTTATGATAAATTGTGAAAAGTTGTGAAAAAATACAACTGTTACCCAATTCTAATGCATTTGGAAATGACAACTTAATAAATATGGAATGAGACTACACTGGCATTTTTGTACACACAATATGTAAGTACAAAACAATGATAAATTAATAATGTATCAAAGTAAAATTAAGTGAAGATATTTTAAAGTTCAAGTTTATTTAGAAATTTCATGATAATGTTCTACTTCATTTAATTTGAAAATGACTAGTGATAGAGCAAACAAAAAACTTCCTAGAGATATAAATAAATGGGAAATTCTATTTCAATATTTTATAAAAAAAWTTTTTTTAAAGTTTTTTAAAACAAAGCAGTAATATTAGGAACAACAGTCAAACATTTACATATTACATAAAGTTCATACTGCAGCAAATGCAGTTGTAGGCACTTTGCTATTATTTCTTCATTTAATCCTCAAAAAATTATATGTTATAATATGTCCTCTTAACAGAAAACACTAACACACAGATTGGTAAAATAATTTTTCCTTAAGTCTTCCTATGTGAAGAATCCTAACTGACGAAAACTAAAATGTCTAAGAGTAAACAAAATGGGTGTTGAGATTAATCACAGGAAACAAGAATGACAAAAATGTCAGAAAAAAAATTAATTTTGAAGCCAAGAATATTGCCAGCAATAATGAAATTCATTTCATAATTACAAAGAGATGAATTAATCACCAGGATATTAAATCTCAAATATTTACATATTTTAAAATAGGTCTTAAAAATAATAAAGCAAAAACAGTAAATATGCAAAGAAAAATAGAAATCTCCACCAGCACAGTAAAATATTTCATTGTCCCTCTCCAAAAGTTGTAGAGAAAATATTACTGATATGAAAACCAGCAAGGTTACAGTAAACCAAACAGTACTGTCAACCAATTTCACCTGATTAAATTTATTCATCTAAAAATAGAATACACTTTCTCCCCCAATGTTATTGAACATTTGTGAAGATATAATATATACTGTTTCATAAAATATAAACATACCTGCATTGGTCTGGATAAACTGAAAAAACAAATCTTATAAAATCTGCTCTCTGATCACAATGAAATTAAATTAGTTATCCTTAATAGAAAGTTTCTTAGAAAACATCCAAATACAAGTTAAGCATCCCTAATCTGAAAATCCAAAATACTCACAAATCCAAAACTTTTTAAGTGCCAATCTAAATGTATACACATCAGGAAATCTGGTTTCATGCACAAAATTATTAAAATGTACAAAATTGTCTTCAAGCTATATATAAAGATGTATATGAAACATAAAGTGAATTTTGCCTTCAGTCTTACTTCCTATCCCCCAGTTATCTCATTATGCATATGCTAATATTGTGAATTTTTTAAAAAATCTGAAATTTAAAAATATTTATACTCTCAACATTTTTGGATAAGGATATTCAACAAATTAAAACTAAATGACATACTTCCTAAATAAGGTATTAATGAAAAGAAATTCTAATGGGACATTAATAAATATTCTTAACTAAAGAAAACAAGAATTTCACATATATAAGTATTTACAGATGTTGGAAAAGCAATATCTAGCAGAAAATCTCTAGCAGTAACTTTCAATATTAAGAAGAAAGATTTCAAATAAATGGCTACTTTATCTTTCAAAGTAAAACTAGAAAAAAATAAAACAAAAGCAAATAGAATAAAGGAGATAATAAAGATGAATACAATAAACATAAAGGCAATTCTTCAAAATTAATAAAATTCATAAATCTCAAATCAGACTGTTCAGGAGAAAAAAGGAGAAAAGACACAAATTGGCCCTGTCAAGAACGAAAAAGGTGGTATCACCACAGATGCTACAGAAAATTAAAGAGTGATTAAAAAAATATTAAGAACAATTTTATATCAAAAAGTCTGTGCAGATGAAATGAACATGAACAAATTGATAAACTGGACTTAAGCAAAATGAAAAACAAGATTTTCAAGACACTGTTAAAAAAAAAGAGAAGTCATATAATGGGATAAAAATATTTGCAAAACACAAAGTCCTTGTATTCAGAATATACAATTTTCTAAATAYAATAATCAGAAAACAGTGCAACTTCAAAAACAGACAAAATACATAAACAGTCATTTCACCAAGGAAAATATAAAGATGGCAAATAAGTGCACACACATATACAAAGATACTCAGCATCATTAGTCATTAAAAAATGCATGTCGCAGTAACAATTTGTACCTATTCAAATAGATTAAATCTTTAAAAGTGACAAAATTTTTTATTTTCAAAATTAAAAGCAAATTAAAAATGTTAGTGAGGATTTGGAGGAACTGTAATTCATACAAACTGATGGCAGAAGTGTAAAACTTTTGGAAAACAATTTGGTAATGCTTAAAAAGTTAAATAAACATATACCTAACATATATTCCAGCTATATCTCCTTTCTAAGATTTACTCAAGTGAAAGGAAATATATATATGCAAACAAAAATAAAAATTGTATTTGTTAGAGTACAAAATAGGAAAACAACTCACAGATCACTTAATAGCTGAAAGGATAACAAAATGTTACATATTCACTGACAGAATACTATACAGCGATAGAAAGAAATGAATTCTTGAGACCTGTAACAAAATACAGAAATCTCAAAACAATCCTGTTGAATGAAAGAGACCAGACAAAAATGGAATACATATTTTATTCACTGATATAAAAGTCTAGCACACATAATCAAATCTGTTCCAAAGAATGAAGTAGATGCATAGTGATGGCGGTCGGTAGCATTAAAGAAGAAGAAGAGAGATTATGTGGATTAAAATCATCTTTTAGAAATGATGATTATAGATGGTCACTGTTTTGATTGTGGTGACAGTTTCACATGCTAAATTAATATATATATGTATATTATATATATATTATATACATATAAAGTAGCCATATTATATATATATAATTGGACTAAAAACTTGTAATAAAAGTCTGTTAAATAACACAGCCACATCAAAGTTTATGGCAGCACAGTTCATATGCTAAATTTATACACACACACATATATATAAATTACATATAAATGACAATTTGCTTCAATAAAGCTTTTTATTTCAATTTTACCTTTTATGTACTGCTCGGAATAGAACCTAGRGCTCTGCACATGATAGGGAAGTGCTCCACCACTAAGCTACATACCTAACCCCTTTCTATTATATTTTGAGACAGAATCTTATTAATTTGCTTAGGCTGAACTTTAATTTGGAATACTCCTGACTTAGCCTCCCTTTGTAGCTGAGATTACAAATGTGCACTACCATGCTTAGTTCTCAACAAAGCTACTAAAAATTAAAATAATATAAAATGAAGTAGCAACTTATTTATTAGATTTATGCTTTATTAGGACAAAGACATTAGAAGAGATAAGGAAAAGTACATCTTGGGCCTAGAAATTCTAAGGCAAGCCAGTCAAACCTCAAACTACCAGTGATACATTCTTTATCAACTTCTACTGATCACTCAGTACTGGAACAGCAACACAGCATGCTTTTCAGGTCTAGGGAACACAGGCTCAGATTAAAATATTGTACTTGACAATGTTTGTACTATAAATATTGAAGAAAGTAAAGATTTCTGAATTCCATTTCCTCATCTGCAAGACAGGTAATATTATATAAGAAGATTATAAAGATTAATTTTTTTAAAGTATAACAATTATGGAGTGCTGACTAAAGGCAAAAATAAGATAAGTCCATTACATTAATTATCCTTATTATTTCTAAGAACCATATCAAATTGTTATTTGTRTACAATGAGTCGAAATGCATTCTGCTATCATGCATAATTAGAACAAATTAAAAAAACATTTAATTAAAATTCTTAGGGCTGGGGATGTAGCTCAAGCGGTAGAGCGCTCGCCTGGCATGCGTGCGGCCCAGGTTCGATCCTCAGCACCACATACAAAACAAAGATGTTGTGTCCGCCGATAACTAAAAAATAAAATATTTAAAAAAATTCTCTCTCTCTAAAAAAAAAAAAAATTCTTTTTGCCAGTTGTCAGCATAAAATCATTAAATAAATATTTATTAAGCAGCCTATTATGTTATTGACAGTTGATTAGGAACTGGGGTAATATACAGTAAAACAAATTGTTGATTTCAGTCCAGTGGGCTGTATATTCATTTAAATAAGTAATTTCATATCAAATTATTTTACAGATGAGGAAACTGAGACTTCAAAAGGCTTGTTTAAATTCAAACAACTATAAACAGTGGAGCCGGGTTTTGAAGTAACTTCAGAATTCCAGTCTTGAATTAGATGTTCATAACCATACACAAAGCGGTACTTGTTAGATGTTGAAATAAACCAATATTATCATTACAATCATATCTTACTAAGCCAAGATAGTGCTGTCAATGAATACTGAAATTTTCAGTCTTCATAGACTCATTTCAAGAAATGGAGACTACTGTTTCTAAATTATAAATCTAATCACTCCATTCTAGCTTGAAATTTTCCGAAGTCTTCTTGTTGCCAATTTTGACTGAATACGGTACACAGCATGTAGAATCCTTCCAGACACAGTATGCAGGACTCTTCAAAACATGAGCCCTTGTTATTACTCTTCCCACCACCATCTGAACAATTTTATTCCTTCATGTTATATAGAAAACCTTTCCTAACCATAAGAAACTCTTCATTATAATTCATTTGAACATTCAAAAGTAATTTCTGGTTTCCTCCAATTTCTTAAGCAAGTATTATATTTATTTCTATCACATTTCACCATATTTCAAAAGATTAAAGGGACTCCCATTTCTCTTAGAAGCTAACATTCAAACAACCCT